TGCTGATTTAATATCATCCTGTTTTGAAGCCCCATCAAGTTGTTGTTCATCTGTTTCCATTGGTTTTAACATGTTGTATCTTATTGTATTTTAATATATGCGATAGTATAAGCAAAATTTTTATAGGCAAAGAGATAATATAGAAACCATTTTTTGGTTTCTGTTAGCTGGTTCTAAATACCCTGCAATACTTTCATTCTCTTGAATGGTTTCACACTGTCTTGATAAGTTTGATGCTATAGTATACGAAGTTATACTCAAATGTTTCAAGGAGACACTATGGTAACTACTATTAATGTCAGGCTATCTGGTGGTGAAACACAATGATGCTTAAATTGTTCAGTTCTGACCTATGTTGTTCTATTGATATGTTCTCTTTTATCTCAAATCTCCCTTTTTTTCTTTTTAAAAATTAATCTATTTCTTATTATCTTTTAATTAAGGGAAAACTAAATTAAAAATAGCGGGATATATTATAGTAACTTTTTTTGTTTCCCTATTTACCTGATTTGAACCACTGTATTGTTCTCCACATCTTGTTCTGATTTTATTATATTCTTTTTGTTTAATAGTATCAAATTTAACGGTATAGGCAACCACTTTGAAGGCAACAAGATATTCTATGATGCCCATTATGGTTTGACTATTATCTTCTTTGGAAGTCCTGTAAGTTCTCCAATGTGGGTTTTATTGGTCTTATTCTGTACTGTTTTGTTCAATTCTTTTATACCAGCTGATACAGGCAACTCTTTTTAAGATAGCAAGAGGCATAATTGTAACCAGTGTTGATCACCTGGTAATCTCTTTTTGCATTATATACTATGTCCATCCTCCTGTTCTAACTGACTCTGTTTTGCTTTGTCATATTGGGTTTTTTTGTTCTGTTTTGTTTTTTGTTTTTTTTTTCCTCTTCAAAGAAAAAGTTATAAGAACTGTGAGAGTAATAAAACCCAAAATGTGTAATTGTTATCGTAAAAAAGAGAGGAAAGAAAGTGATCTAAAGGATATAACTGCATGTATACTTAAGTGTGTAGGATAGAAAACCATATTACTGAGTATTTGTTGGATCACTGAACAGAACTGTCTGCAATCTCACTGTATTAATGTCCACTTTGCTTTAATTTTGTAATCTTGGCAACTGTTTCTGAGATGATAATATGTACTCTATTAACTAGTGAATTCTTACTGTATATTTTTTCTCTTGAAATTCTGTATTACTTGTACCCTTTTACTGTTTTGTTTTTCTCTTTAAATAAAAAAATAGTGAGTATACAACAAAAAGTTTATAAAGGTACCACAGGACGTGCAATGGAACATCTCCGCCCCACCCGTTTACCTGCTTCAGAGTCATCCATCCTAGCCTTGATTACGGCTCTAAACAACTGTGATATGCATGTTTTTGTGTGTGCCTTCTGCACTGGGCAAGGGTGCAATGTGTACTGTGTATATAGTTGATAACCAATTTATACTGTTTGGGCAAACTGTAACACCCAGCTGAGCTGAATCAGAGTGGTGCGGGGTGTGGAAGACCCACCTGAGGGTTGTTGCCAACAGCATAGAGAACTGGAGGGGAAGAGGTGGTATTGTCGGTTCTCCTGGAGGAACTCATCATATTAGTTTTCCTGATATGAATCTAGCTGTTCTGTCACTAAGGATAGCTGTGGTTCTTTTTCCCGGACCTCTGCTCCTTACTCTGAGTGCCTCTTCCTGGCTCCAGTGCAGATCCCATAGCCTGCTGGCACAGATCCTTTATCCTGCTGGTGCAGACTGCTAAGCTTCTGCCACTGACCTTTGGGCCTTCCCAGTGCAGATCCTGGATACAGACTTGCATGAGACATTGTTGTGGGCTCCAGGCCTCCAGCTGGACTTACTCATGCGGGACATTCCCGTGGGATTCAGGTCCTCGGCTGGATTCTTTGGGTCTGTAGTGTGTGGACAGATTTCCTATACTCTTTTTGCATTTGACCCTTTTGGGTGAATATTATAAAATATTCCTATAAATTATGTGTCTCGCATTAAAGGTTTCCCTTGCAAATCCCTGTATCTTACATACTGTAAGATAACATGCTGTATCTTAAAGATCATTCATTTTAGGGTACAAAAAATTATTTCACTGTAGTAAAGGCTGCATGGGTTTGCTTGCATGGGTAAATCACATTGTATTTTAGTCAATTTCCTTTTTATTAGCAGATATATAGCTGTTTCTAATCTTTTCTACTTTGAAAACGGCATCAATGACTCATTGTGCATTAAAAAATGTAGCAGTCTGTCTCAAACCTAAATTTCTTGATGCAGTATTGCCAACGGCTTGCTATAGAGATTGTACCAATGCATAATCTCATTAATTAGTCATGAGTTACCCGCCCCATATCACAGTATTTTTCTGGAATTTAGCACAGTATTATTTACTTGCATGTTTTCACCCTGGTACTGAGGATTGAACCCGTGGCCTTGCTTGGCACTGAATTATCTCCCTACACGCCTTTTTTAAGACAGGGTCTTGGTAAGTGGCTAAGTTGTCTAGGCTGGGCTTGAACTTGTGATCCTTTGGTCTTGGCCTCCCAGAACATAGGTTACAGGTACACATCATCATACCTGGCTACCTACATGTTTGTAACAACATCTTGTATTGTTAAACACATGAAATTCTTTATAAGGAAATGATTAAGTTTGGGGTAAACCATTTGGGAAAATAGGGTAAATTCTCTTTTTAAAATGAATAAGGACAACTTGCCTTTGAGGCAAATGTCCAAAACAGTGAGGGAGGAGCCCATTTCTCCTTAATCCTTAGATCACTATAGTTTGAAAACAACTGCTCCCTCTTTAGGGCAGGACAATTTGCAGTCAAACAATTACCTTTTAAGAATTACAAAGTAATACATTTTTAATGTAAATCATTTCAAAAAGACAGGTAAGCAAAAAAAAAATTGCAGTAGGGATCAAAAAGAAGCGGGTCTTTTTAAAAAACAGGAATTGAAAGAAAGCAATGGACATTAGTAAGGAAGATGTTAATAAACATCAGTGATCAGAGTTCTCTGGCTATCTTGCACCTCAGTGGGCAAAGCACTCAAGGCATCTGGTGGCTGTCTCCAGATTTCCAGGGACCTATGAGATCCCATGCCCCATCTTATCTCTTTCAAGCTTTTCTGAGAACAATGCCTTTGCTGGCAAATGTTAGGTTCTGGGAGAGGGAGGTCTGATTTGGCCCTGACAGTAACAAGAATACTGCTTCAGGTACTGGATATAAACAGTCCAATACTAGTATTATCCAAGCCCATTTTACAGCAAAAGAAACTAAAGTTCTAAGAAGTTAGGTAATTTTTACAACATATTTCTAACAACTGGTGTTATCACGATAAAAATTTTATTATTTCTAAAGCCTGAAGTCAAATTTCAGAGCACTCATTCTGTGAAATCAAAAGCCTAGAAATACTGTCAGACATTGTTTTTCTTTACTCATGCACCGCACTTAGGAGTTCATTAAAGGAACTCTCTGCAGCTCTCAACCTCTGTCTCATTGTATGTTGGGTTGTAGTGGTTGTGATGGTAAGGAGATAAAAACCAGTATCCTCATTTTTGTTATTATACAACTCGTTGGCTTTTATTTTATATTAGAGTTATCTTCCTTATAAGGATGTACTAATTTGTATTCCCATCAGCTGAACATGAGTGAGAATTTCTTCATATATTCACTGTATTTGTTATTTATTAAGTTCTCAAACGTATCCTTTCATTTGTAGACCATTGAATAGTCTTTCTATTGTGTAAAAAGTGCTTTTGTTAATTAACATCGAAAATAGAGTGCTGACCCATCTAGACAGTAAATGTGTTGGAAATTGTTCAAATTATGTCAGTGTGAGTGGAATATCCATTCTTGTTTGAAGTATCTGAGACATGCAGGTCACTGTGACACTCGATTTTCAATCCAGATGCAAAACTTTAGAATTTTTCATCTAGATGTAAAACTTTAGAATTTCTGACCTCAAAGTCGACATTTATCTTGACTTGGAGCTTTTGAGGAAATGAAGGCCCTGGTCTGCTCCTCAGCTCAGGCCCAAGCCTGATGCTAACCTGATCCTGCATACAGCTCTCCTTTGCTTTGAGTCCTTCAAAACACTGCTTCGTTTAATTTTCATCAAAACTGCCTCCTTCTCCCTAACCCAATAATGACCCTTTTGTTTGGTGAAACGGGTCCTCTGAACCACAATCTCTCTCCCTGCAGCTGCAAGTTTATATAAACCGAACTTTGTTGACTACAGGTGTGTTTTGGTCTTTATTTTAAGGCTTTATCAATCCTAAACTGTAGGTCCTAACTCTAAAACCGGGAAGTCCTCCTCAGTGTTTTTTTACACATTGTTTTTGGAAAACAGGTTGGATTCTCACTTGCTGGTAATGCAAGTTCTGCCCAGTGAACTAGATTAAAAGTCACATCAGTTTTTGCTTTCAGTTCCTGCAACATTCCAAGCTAGCTAGGGCACTGTTTTCTGTACTTGGAAACCTCTTCTCAATCTTTGCCCTGCTGGCTCTGCTCAAAGGCCACCTCCCCCAGGAGGTGCTTATATCAGGTAGGCATCTCTCACCAAGCTCCTCCACCACCTCCCGTGTCTGTTTCGTTTTCTTACCTCTCTCTGAAACTACTTTATTCCATTGCTCATTAAGAAGAAAAAATATTCTGCCCTGAGAATGGAAGATCCAGGCACCTGCCTGATTAACAAATAACTAAGCAAAGGTCTCCTCTTCCTTCTGCCATTTTAAATACCCTTCAAAACGCCCTCGGGGATCAAGTCTCTAGCAAGAAATAGCTGGAGAGCGTTTAGTCAAGCCGTTGGTTGGAGTTTTTGCCGTTGCTCTTGGCAACTGCTGTTATCCACCAGTCCTGTAGTAGCCCCGCCCCTCCGTGTCGGGTCTGATCCCTACCCAGAACTCAGAACCTCGGCCCAAAGTAAAATCGCTGCTTTTCCCTTAAATCGCGGGACTTCCGGTCACGTGGGTCCGTAGCCGCCGGAAGGGGAAGTTTCGCCTCAGAACGCTGTTTCGCTTGTCCGAATTCGGTGGCGCCACGTCCGCCAGTGACTGCCTTCTGTACCGCGGCTCCTGCGGCCTCCGCCTCGATACCTTCCATTCGCGAAGCCGGCCGCGTCGTAAGGGGGTCGGGGCGGGCACACCGGTAGTTGTGCGCATCCTGGCGACCTGAGAGGCGAAAATGTCGGACATCGGGGACTGGTTCAGGAGCATCCCGGCCATCACGCGCTACTGGTTCGCTGCCAGCATTGCTGTTCCCTTGGTTGGCAAACTCGGCCTCATCAGCCCAGCTTACTTATTCTTGTGGCCCGAAGCCTTCCTCTATCGCTTCCAGGTACTGGCTGGCGCTGGGGATTGGGGACTACAGGCCCCAAGCGGCCCCGCGGCCGTGGAGCGGGCACCTGCACGTTGGGGACGCGCGGTGGCTGGTGGGACTTGTAGTAAGTCAGGTTCCAGCGGTTGAGGGCGGGGTTCTCTGGGCTCGGGAGGCTGCGGGGTTTGGAGAGCTAGAGACAGGAGTACTTTCTACCCTGCTGTGTCTGAAGGAGGCGTTGAAAAGTTAACTCAGTGGTTGGTGCCAGTCTTTTGAATGTCGGTGGAGCCTTGCCCTGTGACGATTTGTCATCCGCGTGGTGGCGTGGTGTCTGCTTTATCTATATTGTCAGCTTGACTTAATTTTGTTTTCGTGTTCCTGAAAGTCCCTCTCTCACCTGGAGTGGCTTAAGGCCAGAGATATAAAGAATGAATTTACTTACGTGCTCTTCCTTGGGGCCTAACCTAGTGATCGTCTTGTAATTCAGCCTAAGAACAGACTAGTAAAGAGTAAATTGCTTCAGAAGAGAAGACCTTGATACCGTATTAAATGTCAAGTAAAACAGTATCATTCATGGCAAGACAATGTTGGTTTTCTGGAAGTTGTTTTTTGGTTAGTTTATGTAATTTAAAACTAATCATTGGGATGTTGAATTCCAAGATCTGACTTTAATTTCAACACATTTCTTGGCCTGTTGGTAACTCTCTTGTTCCTCACCCCACTGTGTATTATTTCTTAATCTCCTTTTCCGATTTCTTTCTTTTTAAAATCAGATTTCATTGGTACATTTTAGGTATACATAATGATCACGTTCGTCTTAGAGTATTTGTACCGGTACATTTTTTTTTTTTTTTTTTTTTTTTGAGTCAGGGTCTTGCCATGCAGTGCTGGCTGACTTCATACTCACAGTGATCCTTCTGCCTCAGTTTTCCCAGTGCTGGGATTGTAGTTGTGCACCACTACACCCAGCTGCTTTGTTGATTTCTCATCTTTCTGACCTTTAAATGTTGGGAAATGTCCAAGGAATCAGTTACAGGTCCTATTCTGTAGATTCTAGTTAGCTGAGGTGGTATCATTTGCCTTATGGCTTTAAATATTTTATATAAATGGAAGACTATCAGATACAGTATAAAATTTGTAGCATATATTTGTCATTTGATTTTCAGGTTTATACAGTTATCAGACTTCAAGAAATCATCGTTTGAATGACCAGTAGACATCTCAGTCAAATTTGATGAGCCCAAAACCAAGTTTGCTGCTTCTCTTTTTCCCTAGAAGTAAATCACAGCTTCATTAGTAGGAACTCAAGCTAACAGTGGTGGAGTCATCTTTGGACTTTTTCTCTCTCATTTGCCACATGTTCTATTTACCTTAAATATAATCCAGAATATAGTCTCTTTTCATTTTCTACGGCATGCCATTATCATTCCATCCTTGTTCCTTTTGACCTTTTTTCTCTTTAACAGCTAGAGGAATTCTTTTAAAGCATAAATCAGGTCTTGTCAATCTGCCCAGAGTACTTCAGTGTCTTCTCCACCTGATGAATAAACTCCAAGTCTTCTTAGTGGTTTGCAAGATCCCTGACTGGCTCTTTTATCTCATCTCCTACTATTCTGTCTGTTGTACATTAGGCTCCATTATGATGTCCTTTACTGTTTTTGTCAGCACCTAATTGGATACCTTCTCGGGCGTTTGTGTTATTTCTTTGCTAGTAGCAGGTAACCACTGCTCATGCATTTTCCTCCCTGCTTCCTTCAGGTCTCTGTGCAAATGCCATCTTACCAACAAGGCTTTCTTTCCTACATAGAATAGTGCTTCTCCTTTGTTTATTTCCCTTACTCTTCACTTTCTTGCAATATTTCACCCTTTGGTATTTGCTAACCTGCTTCTAGAGAATAAAGTGAGAGCCAGATCTTTGTCCTCTGTATCCCGACTTTGTTATGTAGAATAGTTCCTGGCACATAGTAGGTGCTTATATATTCTCCGAATTTGTAGAAATTCACTATGTGCTGGGCTATTAGAATATAATAGCAAATAGAAAAGGTTCCTGCATATATAAACACATAGAGACATATGTGATGGATAGTGATTTAAGGGCATATGATATTTTAGAGTAGTCCACAAAAGCCTTGAAAGACATTTGAAGAATGTCATTGGGTAGATCTGGCACTGGGCATCACTTCCAGAAAGAAAATACAGTAAGTGAAAGGCTTAGCGGCAGAACAAAAGGAAGATTGGGCGGCTGGGACAAAGTTAGCCATAGGGCCAAGGATCAGCAGATGAGGACAGAGCTAGCCAAGGGTGAGTGTGAGTAAGCAAAGAAAGGTAGGTTTGAGCAAAATCACAGAGGGCTTTGTAGAGTATGTCAAGAGGCTTGAATTTGATTTACAGTATTTGTTTGCAGTGTTGGCAGGTGAACACAGGGCCAAGCACAGCTGTGCCATTGAACTGTGGAATTGGGAAGCCTTTTGAATAAAGGATTGACAGGTTGCCTTGACTGCTCTGTGGAGTGGACTTGCTGTCTAGGGACATGCTAGGCGGTGGGATCAGAGAGGCATGCAAATTAGGCAGGACAGGTGGTGGTTTTGACTAGGGTGGCTGTGAAGATAGAGAAAAACTGGATAGATTTGGCAGTTGGAGTGGACAGGATTGCTGCTGAGGGGATGTGACGGGAGAATGACTGAAGGCAAGAGGATGCAAAGATGTCTGTAAAGGCACAATTGAGTGGGTAGTGCAGCCCTTGATGGAGATTGGGAGTGTTTAGGAAGGCTCAGCTTCAGTGGGGCATGTGGTTGAATGGTTATGCTTTGGCCATTGTTGAGTCTTGAGATGCTTTTTAGGCGTCCAGGTGGAGGAAACCAAGTAGGGAATTGGATCAGATAGAAAGCTCGGTGTAAGAACAGGATTTTAGAGCACAGCCAGAATTGCGTACTGTTTTCTGTTTATTTACTTTAGCAAATATGTGTTGGCAGGGCGCAGTGTTGTACACGTCGTGCCTAGTGGCATGTTGGGTAATGTGTGTGCAAAGGGGGTAGTGGTTGTTTTGTAAGAAGTACCTGGTCAAAACTGACTCTGACCCTTCTTGCAAAATCTTCTTCAGTTGTGTAGTTGGATTAGTAGAGTAATTAACATTAAAAAGCTTTTTTATTAGGCTGATGATAAACGTGATGATCTGATTAGAAAAAGCCATCATTTAAGACACACCTTCAGTGATTTCTGTATCTTGCTTGCATTGTGTTTCCCAGCTTGTTGCCCTGAAACTAGGAGAAGCTGCTGATAGGAGGCCACACGGTGCCCTGACAGCCTAGGTGTAAAAACACCAGTAGCTGTGCCTTGTCTTTGCTTCCTGTTACTCTGACTCTTGCTCTAGACAAGATTAGCTACCAAACCAGCCTGGAGGAACTTGTTTCCCAATGATGCTGTTGAGGAAAATCTGTGTCAGAGAGCTCAGTGTGGCAGGACAGTGTGTGATGATGTACTTTTGTAGAGACTCAACCTCTTTAGAAGCTGGATCCATAACAGTTTAAAAAAATCAAGAAATGACTGATTTAGGATTGTACATTTGTGTTGGAAGTGACAAAAGTCATTTTGTTGTCTTTGACCATAAGTTTCCTCAGTACACAGGTTGACGGTTTGGAATGGCAAAGTTTGGCTAGGTCAAAACAGATGTGTGCTAAAAGTGTTGTGCACATGTTCTTCCTTTTCCTTGTCCCTTGGTTTTAATGCTCATCAGTCAAATAGCTCATAATTGTGAAATGTCTTCATGGTGATCCTTAGTTACAAGAGATATGGCAGTTTCTTGTTGCCTAGTTCTGGAGATTATTTCTCCAGGATTTTCTTGCTGCCTAGTTCTGGAGATTATTTCTCCAGGGTTGACTACATTGTGATGCTTCTTCATTTCTTTGCACAAAGTAACTTCATCTCTTACATTTGTGTTGTTTTTCTGTGTTATCTCATTCAGATCTCACCATCATCTTGGGATAACTGTTACCCATTCTTTAGACAGCTGCTGCAGTTTTAGTTCCTATTTTGGCGAGTTGACAGTAGATCTGAGTTATCTTGTTTAGCTCCTTTGCATATTGCCTAACCAAAAAAATTTAGTGTTTAGTAAAACATTTTGGAAAGTGATTTATTCCAATTTAATTATAACAGATTATCTTTTCTTTTCTGTTAGATTAGAAAGACCATAGAATTTCAAATAATTTGAATCAGGGTCTTAAGGCCTGGTTCAGCTTCTTACTAGTATGCTGTTAGGCAATTCATTTATACTTCTGAGTTTCAGTTTCTTTTCCTAGAAGTGGAAATTATATAAAATCATATTTACTTTCTTCTAAGATTTCATTAATTGTTATAATCAATTTAGTGCAGCTTTTTGGGGGGAGGGATAGAAATAAATGAATACATTAATTGTGTGATGCATCCAAATTTTAGAAACACAAAAATGAATACCTTCAAATTGAGATTATCTACTTTATGTCTCTTAAGTGGAACACAAAGAAAAGTGTGTATAAAATATCCAGTAAATAGCATGATTAACAGGCTATTCAAAAATAGTTTTTTTTTATTACCAGTCATTAGTAATTTTTACATCACTATGGCAAAACATGTGAGAAACAATTGAAAGAAAGTGGGCCAGGGATATAGCTCAGTAGCACAGTGCTTGCCTGGCAAGTGCAAGGTCCTGAGTGCAATTCCTGGTACAAAAAAAAAAAAAAAAGAAAGAAAGAAAGAAAGGTTTGTTTTGACTCACAGGTTCAGAGGTCTGTGGCTTCATTGGGACTGTGGTGAGACAGAGCATCACGGTGGAGAGTTTGTGTTGGAGCAAAACTGTCCACCTCATGGTGGCCCGGGAGGAAGTAGACGGGGTGGTAGAGCATGCCCCCAGTGACAGGCTTCCTCTAGGGAGGCCCCGCTTCTGAGTTGGCATTGCCTCCCAATAGCCCATTAAATTATGGATTCATGAGTAGATACATCTGTTGGTAATGATCTAGTCATGATCCAGTCACCTCTGAATAGCTTCA